GCTGTGTTCTGAAACTCAAAACTATACTGTTAAGAGCTGACTGCAAAGAGGCGGGCTAGGGGCATTCTGACTGAATGCTAACTGGGTTCGTCTGATCAGTGAAGCCAGCTGTAATGATCAGCCAAATTAGTGTCATATATTATTCATTTGCAAATAGTATTCAGATTCACATTCATAATTACACATAATACTTTGGGTAAATGATCAAATACACATGGGCTGTACATAATGCACCCATAACTACAGAATATGGCTTTCTTTTTTTAGCCTCATACATTGCACCCTGACTCTAGTGATAGATTATGATCAGTGGTGTGGATTTCTCTTCTACACCAAATCTTGCCACCTCCACCATTGCTTCACTACACACTCTCTCCCATCTGAATACTCTAACTTCTTGTCCTGTTAAGAGCTTTCCATCAGAGCGATCCATTCAAAATACAGATCTGTTCACATTCCTCTCTAGCTCCAAGACCTTGCAAGGGCTTCCAAAGTCCTGCATGAAGCAGTCCTGGCCAGCTTCTGACCTCACCCCTGTCATCTTCCTCCTCCTTCTCCATTCTATCCCCCTAGAAGTTTCTAGACCATACCAGGCATACTCCACTGTACTGTCCCCTTCATAGCCACCTGTGTGGCTCAGACCTCTGCCAACATGCCCTCTCAACAGAGAGGTTTTCTACCATTTTATCTAAAATAATCACCCTCCACACACAACCACAGTGCTCAGCTCCCTATCCCTTTATCTTTTGTTATTCTTCCCTCAGAGTATTTCTTATGTGACATTCGTTTACCCTTTGGTTTAATGGCTATCTCTCCACATTACAATGGAAACTCCATGAGTTCAAGAGGCTTATGAGTCTAGGATTCATTGCTGTATCACCTAAGCTGACCCAGAACAAGGCAGGCCTATAAATGTTTGTTGGATAGAAGAAAATAGTATGAAAGAATGATAAAATGCATTTCTTCCCAACTCTGAGTGGCTGTTAATGGCACAGAGGCCGACAGGGCTGTGATAGTTCAGGTGTGCCAACTGCAAGCTAACAGTACAAAGATGAAAGGGAGAGAAAGCAAAGACAGTGAATGCTGACGATTGGAACAGCTCTACAAACATGATTCCTTGAGGCCAGCTTTTAGGCAGGTGTGATACTTCCTTGCCAGCTAAATAATCCTTCAATCATCCACTTGTTTGCAGAAGATAACACGGGTCCATACTGATCCAGTTATTCATCCAAGAGAGACTGCAGGGCTGTGGGACAGGTCAGATCCACAACTCTACAGAGTTTTCTGAGGGCCCAGGTCACATCCTTTCTGTTTTTTGTTTTTTACGGGGCGTGGGGTGGGGGGTGTTTCTGTGTGTGCACATGCCGCTGCATGAACATGGAGGTCAGAGGGCAACCTCAACAGTCAGTCCTGTCCTTCCACTTTGTTTGACAGGGTCTCTTTGTTGTTTGCTACTTCCTACACCAGGTTAGCCCTCGAGAGCCTAGGGATTCTCCTGTCTCTGCCTCCCATCTCACTGTAGAGCACTGCGATTACAGGTACACATAACTGCACCTGGATTTAAGTGGGTTCTGGGGATTTGAACTTAGGTCTTCTCGTGTGTGTCAAGCACTTTACCCACTGAGCCATCTCCCAAGCCATTTCCATTCTGTCTGCTGCTCTCATTTTGCTTTCCGTGGAATGTTCTTCACATCAGAATCAGTGATACTGTCTCACCAGTCTCACTTCTACAGGGAAGGAGGAATTGGAAACTGGGAACAGCCAATTCCTTTTTAAGGAAAAGAAGATCCTGTAGCACTTTTTATCACAGTCAGACTTAGTCATGTAACCATGGCTAGGTGCAAGGAAGACTAGAAAAGGAGACTCCAGATGAGTGTCCATGTATTCTGCTATAACTCTACACAGGGGAAGTTATTCTGGGAGAAGATAGTAATGAGTACTAGGAGACAGTTACTAGCATCTGTTTAAATGATTAGTTAAATGTGACTTGGGAGACTTACTATGCCTCAGGCACTATTCAAGACTCTAAAATAGATTGAAAAGACAAACCCCAGCTTTAAGTGTCGTAAGACAGATACATTATAATACAAGACAGACTCTATAATCCAGAATCCAGGGACAAACTGCTACCAAATGGGTTCAAGGTAGGGAAACTGGAAAGCTCGGAAATAAGCTGCTCTGAGAGACAAGAATGGAGCAGAAAGAGATCATTTTAGAGGAAGCAAAAGGACAGGCAGGAGACGTTGAGAGCTAGCCTCATGGTCCAATTCAGCTTCACTGTAAAAGGAGCTACGGAAGAAGTTAGGGACTTCTTTCTTCCAGGCATTAGAACTAGCAGAGTGTTTTAATGAGACCCAAATAAGACCAGAGTTGTCTGCACAAAGACAGAGTGAATGGGAGCAGGAAGAGACTGAACACAGGAGGCCAGAAGGAAGGTCAGAAGGTCCCTTATAAAACAGTTTCATAGGAAATTTTGTAAATCCTCTGGAATCACCTTGGTCAAATATTAATCTGAATTACATGTGATTAACATGTATTTTCTGAATACCTGCCGTTGTTAGTGGATCTCAAGTTTTTCTCACCATGTACATATAGGAGAAACATTTCTTCCCTTTAATTCATTTTCACAAAGATATTTGGAAACAAGGATTTTACAAAATGGCATTCATCCAAAGCATTCTCTCTTGTTCTATCCTGTGTTTGAATTCATATTCTGTGTTTTTGCTCACTCTAGATTGGGATCTTAATGTATTTATTGTCGGGAAAACACTTTGTTAGGCACCATGAAGAACATGGGAGAAACACAGTAAGAGCTCTCTAGGTCTTCCAGATTATATCTGTTAATGGAAAGAAAAACAGGCACAAACAGCCACAAGACAAAATAGGGAAATCATAGACTTGGAAGGAACCTGAGATGGCATCTTGTCTAAATATCATTAGTGAGATGAAATGCAGGAGCATTTACTAACTTAACAATGCCAAACAAACCAATGTGTACATGCAGGAGAGGCAGAGCTTCTCTGAGAAGTCCAAGCCCCCTGTGTTATTAAATTCCTTTTAAAAAGCAGAATTACAAAAAATTTTGGTATATACCATTTGAGTTAACAAATGGTGTTTGTTGGTGTTTTGTTGCTGTTAGTATTGTTGGTCTGTCAATTTTTGTTTTTGGACAGGTTCTTGTATAAAGCCTAGGCTAGCCTCAAACTGGAGATCCTCCTGCTTCCAGCTCCCAAACACTGGTATTGCACCTGGCTTCAAATGCTTGTGTGTGTGTGTGTGTGTGTGTGTGTGTGTGTGTGTGTGCAAATGCTGGCTGAGGCCAGAAGAGGGTATTTGATTCCCTGAAGCTAGAATTACAGGCAGTTGTGAGCCATTCATCATGAGTGTTGGGAACTGAACTCAGGTCCTCTGGAAGAGTATTAAGTGCTCTAAACCATTGAGCCATCTCTCTAGCTCCTCAAATACTTTATTTAAAATATTTTATTGATTCAAGAATTTCACACAATGTATTTTGATCATATTCAGTTCACCCCCACCTTTCTACCACCACCCCCCAACTTCATATCCTCTATTACTGCTTTTGCAAGGCCTACCAAATCTAATCTGTGTTTCCCAAATCCATTTGGGTACAGGTCTATTCTTCAGAGTCTGGACACCTACCAGGTATCACACCAGTAAGGAAAACTGTCCCTTCTTCTCCCATCATCTATCAATTGTCAATAGCTCCTCAGTTAGGGCTAGGGCTTCTTGTCCACCTCCCTTATTCATAATTGGCTCCTGTCTGGCTTGGGTTTGCACAGGCCTCAAATACTTTTAATGCAAATGCTATTCAGTTTTTTTCATAAGATAATTGTATCATTTATTTAAATATTTACTTATAGTCTATCAGTGGTATGGGCTGGCAATAGGACAAATATTTAAACTTGTATGATAACTGGCTTATTTCAGTCAAGTCATTAGCTCTTGGTGACTGAATGGTCTCCCTTTTAGATATAATATCAAGAGGATGTATTGGAGGCCATTGGGCCCTTCAGGAAAAAAGTACTCATCAAATAGACCAACTCTACCTTTATCCTCCAACCCACATCTCCACCAGTATAAGACAGGACTATCTTGCTTTGCAGTTGTTCTGCATTCCACACTAGGATATGATGAGGTCCTCCAAAGATTCTGCTCTCTTCTGACTCCACTGTTTTTCTCAGGTTTTCTGCTTTCTGGGACCACCACAAATCTCAGGTTGTGGCTTTGATTGGCTGCTGAATAAATACAGAACCTAACATCTGAGCTGCTTCTTTATCTTTTTATTAATTCTTATGCATATTCTCAATATAAAACATTATAAAGAAAACTTTTCAAATGTCATTAGGAAATGATGTCAAAACTTTTCATTAAATAACCCATGTTAACATATCCCATTCTAGGATCTCAGTGTTTTCAATTTTTAAAGTATTATTCCATTAAAGCATGGTAAATTAAGCTACTCTATCTTGTATGTTACAAAAACTGACTGCAATACCTACACTCTTACTTCACAATATTAAGAAAAATGAGTATATTATGGTGTAATTACAGCCAAATTATTGTTTGAACATTTCATTCATGTTATAAATAATAGTTATTAAAATCACATAAGCCATATTTTGACATTACAAATTTGTATCAAATTATGTGATATTAATTTATGTTTTTAAAAAGGGGCAGGATAGATATATAGATATGTATAAGTAGCATAAGCTGTCAAATGATTTATTGTAAAATAATTTATTTCACCTTTTCTGAGGCATCTCTTTGCCAACACCTTTATTGGAAATTTATGGAAAGCATTTGTAAAATATAAGAAAACAAGGTTCTTTGCAATTGCCTATGTGGTTTGAATATAGTTGTATTGCATTTTTTTACCAACGAAATGAATTTCACTTGAAGGAAGCTATGCTCACTCTCTCTCTCTCTCTCTCTCTCTCTCTCTCTCTCTTTCTCTCTCTTTCCATTGAATTTCACAGACGTCTTGCTGGAAATGCTTTGACACACATTCCCAAGGGAGCATTCACGGGCCTTTACAGTCTTAAAGTTCTGTAAGTAAACAAATTATTATTGGCTATATTTCTGCTTTTTATGTCAAATTGTTGCTAATTAATCTGTAAATATTTTAGTTTAACTTGGGTCTTTGAGATGATTCACTTAAGTTCTACCCTGCCTTGATTGGTGCTGTAAAACCATATTATATTTGGCTAAATCTATGTGTGAAAAAATTCTGCTCTCCTCTAACATTATATCTAAAATTGCCTATAAATAACCACATTACACACCCACACTTTTAAGTATTTTTCTCTGTATATTATGAAGTTGGGGAACGTGTCCAAAGATTTGGGTCACCGAGTGAATAAGTCACTGTGACATCAACATAATGAGATCACAGCTTCAAACCAGTGTTGAGATTTGTATCTTTTGTTACGCCAAGTAAAGATCACTAAAAAAAAAAAAAAAAAAACCCAAGTTTGTAATCCACCTATGAGTGTAATCCACCTATGAGTAGACACAGAAAAGCTAGTGCATGACCCAGTGCAGTGGACAAATGTTTATTAAGAAATATTGGGTTAGAGGGGCTTGAGAGATGGCTCAGTGGTTAAGGAGTTCTTACTGTTTTCCAGAAGACCCAAGTTCAGTTCCCAGCACCCACATCAGGCAGCTCACAACTGCCTGTAACTCCAGCTCCAGATGATCCAACACCCTCTTCTGGCCTCAGGGGGCACCTGCAGAAACATCAACACATAAATAAAAATAAATACATCTTTTGTTTTAAAAAAGGAAATGTTAGCTTAGGGATGTAGTTCAGTGCAGAGCACTTGCTTAGGATGCCCAAAGCCATAGATTCTATCCGTAGCACTACAAGAAAGAGAGAGTTAAAAAGAGATAGGGAGAAAATTTAAATGTAGGTTTATGAATAAATTTTCTTATTATTCAGTGTCAAGCTTCCAAATTTGTGGTCATTCATAATATTATTAAATACCTCCTTTTACTGATATCCCTAGCCTAATTTGCATTGATCCGTTCTGTGTAGGAATAACTAAGTAGATAATACATAGTGAAAACTGAAAATCATTCTAGGAAAATTTTATCCAAGAAAATAAATCTTGATTTTATTTCCTCTCTTTGAGATAATGTTATTAACTCTGAAAAATCATTTATTTATGCTTAATGAAAATAGTATTTCAGTAGCTCAAGATATATGTAGGTTTTTAAAAGTTTAATTAAATTTAGTGTTTTATTAAAAGTTAAATTCTATAACAGAACTCAATAAACATTTGAAATGAATGAATCTGACTCTTGACACAGAGAAAACACAGATACTCTAAGCATCAATCTTTTCTTAATTTTGTATGATGTTGACCCAACATTTCATGTTTATTTACAGAATATAAATTGGAACCTCAGTAAAAGAAGCCTTCTTATCTGATAGGAGTTCCTACCTGCAAGTAGGTTTTATTTACCCAGAATGCTGCTTCATGTGTTGCATTTTGCCCAAACGCTCTAGCCACATTGACCTAGACTGGTTAAATACTGAGTTTTAGGTGGCATGGTTTGGATATGGCTTGAGTTTGTCCCCCAAATGTTAACACACTGAGATTAAAGGCCTGCATCAACACACCTGATCCAAGGTCACTATTTAAATGGACCCTTTCCATGTGGGGCAAGAGTTGGGCAGAAATGTAGTGTTAAGATTCTCTTTTTATTTATTCCTAACAAACCAATATTTCCTGTCTTCTAAGTCAGTTCAGCAAAGTTTGGTGATACTCAAAATGCCATTAAACAAATTATTATTAGAAACACAAAGATTGGGGCTGGAGAGATGGTTCAGCGGTTAAGAGCACTGACTGCTCTTGCAGAGGACCCAGGTTCGATTCCCAGCACCCACATGGAAGCTACGAATCATCCTTAACTCCAGTTCCAGGGGAATCCGAAGCCCTCTTCTGACCTCTGCGGCATTGTGCGGCATGGGTGCACTCACATACATGCAGGCAATACACTTGTACACATAAAAATAACACATAAATTTTTTTTTTTTTTGCTCTTTTTTGAGACAGGGTCTCCCTGTAGCCCAGCTGTCCTGGAACTCACTATGTAGACCAGGCTGGCCTTGAACTCACAAAGATCTGCCTGCCTCTGCCTCCCAAGTGCTTAAAGGCATGCACCACCATTCCTGGTGAATAAAACTTTTTTTAAAAAAAAAAGAAATACAAAGATCAATGAATATGATTCATGATCTTGAAGAATTTATGATCTAGTGATAGGTTATGAGACCAAGACAAACGAGTAGATCTCTAATTCTTGAGGAAAGTACATCTAAAGACAGTCATCAGTAGAACTACAGAGGATGTGGAACATTCAGTCTGGTCCAGCATTCAGACTTGACTTTCTAGGAAAGGAGTTTTCCATCAGAGATGACCCAGGAGCTGAATCTGGAAGTTAAACTTAGAATTAACCTTCCAAATAACATAGCTGACTGAGAAAACAATACACTCAGAGGTACAGGAGCAAGAAAGACCCAGGATGAAGAGTTAGCTCAAGCAGGTTAGTAGTCCAGTATTCACAAGACTGAGTGGTTGGAGAAAAGCCTGAAGATCTCAGTTGTAAGGATCTCAGGTGTCATGTCAAAAAAACACATGGGCATTTTTTTTTTCTAGGCATCATGAGGAGCTGAAGAAAAGAGTTAAGAAAAGAAATGGCATGTTCAGACTCCACAGTTTAGCTAGATCCCTGTCAATATGAGGAGGGTTTGAGAGCAGCAAGATCCTGTCATGAACTGTGTTCACCACTCTCATTGCTGACTTGGAGACTAAGTCCATGAGCAGACTCAAAGGGTTAAATATCTTTAACTACTTTGGCATTAGAGCAATGGTCCTCAACCACAGTCACTCAGGCTGCTATGGGGTATTTAAGAAATCTGTGGGGATACCTTTGTCCAGATGATGGTCACATAACAAACTGGATCACAACATGCTGTGTAACCCAGTGTCAAGGCAAATATTTCACCTTCCACTTGACTTCTGACTACACCTCTTCATAAAATAGAAATCAATAATATTTTAACATATGACTGCAATGAAAGATTTTATAGGAAGTTCTATATAGTATAATATTTTGTACAGGAAGGTTGAGATGGAATAAATATATCCTTTCAAAATGATTGAATGATTGAGTTTACGTATCTTTTCCATTCCTAGAATTATAGGATTTCTAATGACATATTTAATTTAAAATAGTACTATTCAGTCATCTCAAAAGAACTATATATGCTTTGAAGCTTCTTTGAAATCACTGTCATTAACAAGGAAATAAAAAGCAAAGAAAAAGGAGCAGCACTGGATTTTGTTACCAAAGTTTGCTTTATAACATTTCATGTTACTTTCATTTATCTACTGGGAACACAGTCATACAAATTTCATGTTGCAGCAATTATATAGTAGTTTATTTATTTGTGGAGCACCCGCTGCTTTTAAAACGTTACTCTTCCACTACCTAACAAGTTCAGTGCCCAGAAGGCAGTGTTGCGACTGCTCATTTTTCCCAGTCAACATTGGTTCCCCATTTCCTATGGACGGATGTGATCTCCAGGGCCTTTCAGAGCACTGGAGAAGGAATGTTCACCTCAGCATGTTCTAGCAGGGTAAACTGCAGCATTTCAACACTGTCTTGTCCTAGGACGTAGGAACTTATTTTTTGACTTATTTGTGAGGCTATCCATGGTCTTTTGTGAGTGTCAAACTTCTTAACTTGCTGTACTGTAACTTTTGTAATTTGTTTGGAGCCTGTTATTTTTATTTTAATAAAGGTTATTCCCTGCTCTCCTTTGAAAAATTATTGTTATTGTGCATCTTTACTAGTTTTTAGTCTACTTTCTCTCTAGACCCCTGTTCATGTTTCTATTCTTAGACAGAATGACTTCTGGTCGCGTTACTTTGCTCACACCTATTATTTGTTAAAAGTAGAGTCAAGGCCTGGAGATGTAGCTCGGTTTGTAGAATGGTTGCCTAGCATGCATAGAGCCCTAGGTTTTATCCCCAGCACCTCATAAACAGGGTATAGCAGCACATGTCTGTAATCTCAGCACTAGGGAGGTAGAGGAAAGAAGATCAGAGGATCAAGGTCATCTTTGGCTACATAAGTTTGAAGCCAGTCTGGACTACATGAGATCTTGTCTCATGATAAATAAATAAATAATAACAAATAGGCTAAATAGCTCATTCGTTAAAATGATTCCTCAGATTGCTGCATATGAGCATCATGCATATAGTGAAGAATAAATCATTTTACTATAAAGTACTTTTTTCTGTAGTTCTTTTTTAAAAATATTTTATTTATGTTTTTTTATGTGTATGCATATATTGCCTGCATGTAGGTAAGTGCACCCGTGTCATGCAGTGCCATAGAGGACAGAAGAGGCTGTTGGATCCCCTGGAACTGGAGTTACAGACAGTTGTTAGCTGCCATGTGGGTGCTGGGATTCGAACCCGGGTCTTCTGCAAGAACAGCCAGTGTTCTTAACCACTAAGTCATCTCTCCAGCCCCCTGTAGTTCTCCTTTGTAATAGCATTAGGTAAGTACATTATATTGATCCAATAAAGTTGAAAGCCACAGCACAAGAGCTAAAATTCTGAGTAAGATAGACCTGTAAGTGTCCTCACAGAAACTCTCACATTTTATAAAATTCAAAATTGACTGGAAAGAGTGTATAAAAGTAACATTTCATTTGTCTAAGGTGGATAAGGAGAGGTATGGTAAATCAAGAGAAAGGTATCAATGACCCTGTCCACTCAGATGAAGAATAAAGATGGCCAAAGCTGTTATTGGTGAGGGCTGTTTTACATTGGGAATCTTACTACTGTGACCTCTTACCATTAATATTTTAGACTACTCTTCTCATAAATATTGACCCAAGTAAAAATAAGCTATTGGGTTGTGTACTACAAAATATTCAATCCAGGGCTGGAGAGATGGCTCAGTGGTTAAGAACACTGGTTGTTCTTGCAGAAGGCCTGGGTTCGAATCCCCACATGGCAGCTAACAACTGTCT